AGTCTGTGGATTCGATTTGGCTGAAATTGTTCATGTTGTAACACTGCAATAATACACAAAAATTGTTTCTTTGCCAAACAAATTATTTGTACATAACGGTCACAAATCGGATAATAATAGAATGGAATAGCAAACAGTTTTCCACCCGTGCGTTCTCCATGAAAATCCCCGCGTCTGATTTTCTCACTCGGCGGCCCACTGCGGGAAATGGGCATCAGCCGGAAGGTTTGGTGGTGTAACTGGCTCCTCTCGGTGCTCGGCTCGCTATTTGCCTGATGGATTTGGCGCGGGGGCTAGTTGGGGGTGGCTGTGCGAGGGTGAGAGCGAGAGACCTGGCGATATAATGTAACTATAACCACTTCTGCACACACGCGCTATGTTGTGTGCACCACACGGGCGTGTTGTACAGCAGAAAATCGCTGAGCAGATGAAATAGATGGTTATGTGTGGGTGGTAATTTGGGTGGTCGCAGCCACCCCCCCATGCGATTTATGACAAGCAATATTTGGTACGAAAACTTGTGCGTAAATTCAACCCGTTTTCGGTTAGTAATGTTCTTGGCGGGTGCCATCAGCAGCCACCACCATTTGTCCTCCCCATGCTTGAATTCTTGTGAGCATTTTGTATCTGGCGTTCGTCATTTCCTCCAACAATGCTTGCGGAACATTTACGAAAATGCCTGCGCTATATTGGTTGGTCGTTGGAAAAGCAATTCAGCCCCAAAATGCGACTGAATAGTTCAATGATTCCCGATGAACCTAAGAATCTCATTTTTCGCAATCTAACAGGCAAATTATGAATTCACAGTGTGGAAAAACAACTGCGTTAATTTGTGAAAATTGAGATATTGACGCAGAGAGTCGTGAAAATTGTAATTTTCCACTGAAGCCTGCGAAAAGAGGCCGAATATCTTTCTAACGACCAAGCTTGGGAACTGATTGTGCGCCTGAAAGCGTGTTCATCTATACTTTTTCCCAAGGGGAGGATGTTAAGCCTTAATCTGTACACCACTTCTCATCACTTTCACAGTTTCAGTCGTTTCTGTGCAGAATTTTCAACCCTTCAGACACTTTTGAACACATTTGAAGGCATTTTGCATCGCTTTTTCACCTACTTTATTCTAAATTTAAGCATTGTAAGGAGTTTAACCCCTTTAAAATGCCTTAGATTTAGAATTATGAGAAAAGGTCTTATTGTCCCAGGATTTGTTCATGGCAAATTTCTGACTCAATTTCCTAGTTTTGTCCTCGAAAAATGCTTTGAAAAATTCTAATAAATTTGTGAAGTTATGAATTTGCGTTAAAAATCCTTCTTGGTTTAATTTGAATCATTTTAAACCTAGAAATCAGTAAATATTGTGAAAATAACAATGTTTATACTAGAAACTAAGGTTGAAATTGACATTTTTAGGCTCAAATCGCGGAAAAAACTAAGCAAAAATACATCTTTCTACACTGAAATGGTGTTTTTGAGGTTATGATTGATTTTCAAGTTTCTTCTCAACCAATATGAAGTTATTTTGAGTACAAATGCTCAATTTTGACAAGAAATAGAGAAATATTTCCAATTTAAACACAAATATGATGATTTTGAGGGTTATTTTATCGCCAAAATCCCTTTTAAACCAATCTCATAACCTAGAAAAGCAATCAAATCGACCTTTTTAAACAAAATTAATTAGAAAATGTCTAAATTTGTTAAACAGAAACATTTGCAATGCAAATATGTAAGGAAAAACGTCAAAATCGTTCTTTTTCAGAAGCGCAAATACTAATACAAATACTAAGATTACAGAAAAATTTGCCAAAATTACCTTAAAACACTTAATTGTTTTATTAAAGTGTTAATATTGCTCTGTAATAATTATTTTGTGAATATTTCTGTTGATTTTATTGGCATTTATTAAAATTATTGCCTAAAATAGTTTCCAAAGATGATTTTTAATATAAAATATCAATGTAAATTCATTCAAAGTCAAATGAAATTCTAGGAAAAATGTTTATTAAAGAGGCATTTTATGCGTTTCACTGTAAATTGAGAAGATTTTAAACCGTACACCACTTCTGGCCGCAATATCTGCCCCTTGCCTTTCTCAGGGTGGTCGCCCGCCCTCTTTGTGGGTCTTCCCTTCTGCTCAGATCGACCGTAACCCGTTCGGTTCCTCTACATTGTAAGCGATACGGTAAACCAAGATGGTAAATTGTGTACCTTTCGCGTCGGCTTGCGAACGGGGCATTTGTGCCGAGGAAAAGCGCGGCGAACACGTTGCGGGGCGCGCTCGAGAGTGGCGTGCAAATAAATTGATGGTTTAGAATTGGGGATGAGGGCTGCGTACTGAGCCACCCCTGGAGCCACGGTTTTTGCCATCGCATCGGAAGGTGTTTTATGGATTGCTAATGATTTACAGATTTTCACGCGCGCCAAGCGCACATATAATTGACTCCCAAATGATGGAAAATATATTGTGCGATATGCAAAAACGCGGCTTGGCTGCTGATTTTGACGTGTTACTTTGCGAGGGTGTGGAGAAATAATTGAAATTTTGTAGCAATGAATCGTCTTTGTGGCTGAGCATATCGCCCAACATGTGTTGATTTTTCCTTTTCACCGATTTAACGTGCATGGTCGCATTCTGGTATGATGGACGTAATTAACACATAGTCTACACGTGCTTTTTTCGCTATTAATTGGCCGCAGTACTCGTGGTATCTTAATCATTTACCTCTGTTTTTTCCTTCATTACAATACAAATTGATAAATCTGCTTGGGTGCATTTACTGAGCAAAAATGTGGATAAGACCACGATTCGCGTGTTCTTATGGTATATTAGCTGATATTTAAAATTTCCCTCTTCCGTCGCCAACTCCATTTAGTTAGAAGGAAAGAAAGCATGGAAATTTTCATATGCAATATAAAATCCAAGTCCTGAAAATCAAACAGTTTTAACTCTGGTTCTATGGCTTTGATAGAAAAGTTTGAACCCATTTTGGAAACATCTCGATCTGGACTATCGAAATACTTAAGAAATTATCCCAAATTAGTGTAACCTTGGAACAAAATTTTTCATTTCGAAATCTTAAAAATTTTGGTATTGACCTTAGCGCCTCTGGCGGTGGTCTGATGAACTTCTGTTGTTCTAAATAGTCGTAGAGTTTTGCAAAACCTTTCCAACGAGCCCAAAATCGTAACGATCGGATAAATAGAACCAAAGTTATAGCGAATTTAAAATTAAAACTTTAAACCATCATAAATCCGGTTCTATTGCATCCACAAAAAAACTATAACCTATTTTCAGAGACGTCCTGGTCTGGACTATAACATATAAAAATTTAAAGAAAATTAATGATCTAGTTGCCGAGATACAGGCGTTCAAAGGTTTTTCAATATGGCGGCATTTGTTATGACGCCATAAACTAATGGTGATTATGGCCTACTAAAGGGCGTCGAGACACGTCTTTCGGTGAAGAAATTATCAAAATCGGTTGGTAAACAGCAAAGATACAGGCTGGTCAAGGTGTGAACTTTGACCTTCCATATTTCCGCTCCTAATGAATAGGGCCTCAGAAGCAACGGTTCGTTGGAAAGGTCACGACTTCAGTTACAACATATTTAAATTTGAAGAAAATTTATGATTTCGTTTTCGAGTTATTCATTTTCAAAATTTCGAAAATGATTTTTTCAACTTTAGCGCCTCTAACAGTGGTCGTACCAAGTTATGATGTTCAGGTGGGAGATGGCATTTTACGAGACCTTTCCATTGAATACAAAATAATTCCGATCGGTTATTTAGAAGCGAAACTATGGCCATTTTGATTTTTAAAATTTGAACTCTTATATCTAGGGTCCGGAAAGTCCTAGGTCCTTAAGTGGTGGTTCGTTGGAAAGGTCTTGAGGTCAGCTATAACATACTAGAATTTGGGTCTGATTCATGCTATAGGGGCTGAACAATGGAGGAAAGTGTATTTTGGGGGTGTTCAAAATGGCGGATGGTGAGGAAATCTTCATTACAACTGCATACTTTTAACCTTTGCCGCCAACCACAGGTCAATATCTCTTACCGTTTAGGCACTAGAAGCCCGTTTGTCACGACAGACGGACGGTCGGAACGACAAACAGACACGAAAGAAATTTTGCGCGATTACAGATATTAGCTGTGATGCAAATTCCAGCTAATAAAATGCTGTGAATTGTAATTGAATGCGGATTGCATTGCTGGGAAAATGTGTGCATTTTGAGCGGCCAATTGATCAAATTTGGCTGCTTCGGTGCGTCAGACGGGCGGAAGAAATGATGTGACGGCAGTGGAAATTGCGGGGTGGCTTTCGGGGGCGGGGGTGGATTGTCTTCAGTCAATTGCGTGACGGCACAGCTTGTGGGTTGCCAGAGAGAGAGAGAGAGAGAGAGAGAGAGAGAGGGAGAAGAATCTCCGCGTATAGTGAAGCCCGAGAGTGTCTTCAGAGGGTGGAAAACAAAAAATCGGTATCAATGCAGAAAGCTGCGAAGGTGAATAGCGTATAAATTTTCATCCCCGTAATTTTTTTTTGTCGTCGTCAAACAGTTCATAGCAATATGCCAAAATCGGATCTCGATTCCGACTGTGCTCTGGTTGTCTCACTCTAATGACAAACACCACCATAATGATGACTGTTCAATTGTTTCGAAATGCACACAAACGTGGGAAATGAGAGCGATATATCGGCGTCAAGGGCCATTTTGCCTCCTGACACACAGTGAATCGGTGGGCGTGCGAGCGAGATGGATAGTTGAGTGCGTGCGCAATTATTTGACATGAGAGAGAATTACTGTGTATAAATTTTCGTGTTGGTTAGTAAAATCGAAAGAGACAGTAATTTTCCAGGAGTGAAGCGAGCGCGCCCGGAATATATATTTCAACACACACTCTTCGGCCGCACATGCGGCCGTCTCGCTCACTCCCCCCCCATCGCACTCTTGTGCCAATACACAAGAGAGTGCCTCAGCACTAGGTAGGAGCTATACATGCACAGACCAGTCGCTTTAGTCCGGTCTCGACCGTAGTATCGTGAATGTGTACTTTGACAGTATTTCAAAACTCGATCGTTGTTTTTTTCTTTTTGTTTGTAAATTGATTAAACAGCCACAGTTTTTGAGTTGTGCACACTCTCTGTGTTTTTTCCAAAAACCGGTGAGAAAAATGATCGGTAGTCGTTGATGTTTGCTTGCGGATACACCGGTGATTGTGGGATTTTGTGAGCCAACAGAGAAGAGCATCTCGAGAGTTTGAATAAGTGTGTTTTTTTGAGACAAGCGACCGGGTTTTAGGAGGCGCAGAAGAGAAAGAGAGCGAAATTTTTACTTTTTTTCCCTTCAGTAAAATCCCCGTACAGAAAGGGCGAAGAAAGACAACCACTGTGGATAATATATAGTGTGATTTTCTCAAATTTCCTTTGAGAAGTTCTTTGCATTCAAGGATTTACACAAGGCTTCAAAAAATCTCCTGAATTTTTGGTGCGCGAAACAGTTTATGAAGACACTTTGTCGTGTTATTTGATTAAAAATGGAATAACGAGCAGCGCGTCACTCAAAGTTATATCATCCGAAGGCATTAAGGGAAGAGCATAAACACAGAGCACAATAATAATCCACGATTCTTGCCTTTGACCACCGACAGAGAGAGAGAGAGGGAGTGAGAGAGTGAGAAAGAGGAGACAAAGTGGTCAAAGAGGAGAAAATACTACCCAAAAAACTGCATAAGCAAGGTTAGACGCAGGACAAAAGTGAGGAGAGAACTAAAACCGGATAGAAAAAACAATTGTTAATACGAAAGTGTTGGGAGATTTCTCGATTTTGTGTTGCTCTAAGCCAAAAGGAAGGAGAATATATTGGTGGACAGAGACGAAATAAGGGTCCAGCAATCACAGAGACATTGAACCAACGTCTTCAGCCATGCTATTCGAGAATCCGGCTGTGGCTGCTAAATTACCTTTTCCGTACAACATACCGCCACCGATGCAGGCTGCCGCTGGGGTCCCACAAATCAGGTAAAGCAGACGAAGGAGGGAAGAAAAAAAAACCCTCCAACTCCCCTTCGTGGCCATTTGACTTGAGAAGAGAGTTTAGAGCCATAGCAGAAGTGTACATTCCTCATATTATGTATTCTCGGGCAAAGCAAAGCGTTCAAAATTAACACAAAGGAATCTACTTTGGCGTCTCTCTTTCGGCTTATGGAGTTGCCAAGGCATCTGAAGGGGGTTTTTCAAACCACTTTTGCCAGAATATGGTGTGGCGAAAGGTTTGGGGGTTTTTGCCCAGCAAAATTCCTCTTTTTCTTCTTAACTTCTCACCCTCAGAGAGAGATTTAAGCTAACGAAATTGGTCAGGGAAATTGTTACATTTCTGCCACATTCGACTGAGTGCTCAACCTTCGATTTAATGGATTACAGTGTGTATATGAAGTGTCTCCTAGAGCCTAGTTTAATTACCCAATGCTCAGAAGATTCCACAATCTTCAGCCTCTTCTTCAATCGCACATGATGCTTATATTTCTCGACTTCAGCTTATGAATTGATGAGTAAATAAAAACCCTGTTTATGCCTCAAAATGCTCCAAAACTCCCGTGACTGTGTCTGTGTCTGGCTGTGTCTCTGTGTGTGTGTTTGTGAGCTTCCAGACACACCACTTTTTATGATGAATGCCAGAGAAGAAGAAGTATTGTATACAGAAGTGGATGGGCAAATATACAGTATAGAAGATGAGATATAAAATGAGGCAAAAGTGAAACAGAAAATCTGTAGAATTGCCATTCTGTGATGGACGGAAAATGATTTTCACTCAAGTTCACCATTTCAGAGACTGTTTCAAGTGTGCATTTTCTGTTACAATTCAATGCTGTTGTAGGTAGATTTATAGTGAAATGCAAGGGGAAGATAATAAACATTGAAATTGTACACAACTTTGTGAGACTTTCACAGAAACAGTGAAGAATTTTCAACACTTTAGACACTTCTGAACGACTTCTGAACTGTTTCTTGCACTCAATACTGACTTATCACACTTTAATTCGGGTTTTTCCAAATTGTGAGGCTATGAAAGTCGGTTTTAAAACCTTCTTGGACTAATTTAAATCCTTTCAACCCTGGAAATTATTAAATTTAGAGAAATTACACAATGTTTCTACTGTTACCCGTGGAAATAACTAAGCAAAGAGGCAAAAATGAAATTTTTGAGGTTATGTTTGACTTTAAAGCTGATTTTTACTTTCGAAATTTAATCAAACTGAAGTTTTTAGTTGACAAATGATCAACTGTGTCCAGAAAAACAGAAATTTTCTTAGTTTTATACACAATTTTGATAGTTTTTAGGGTTATTTGAACACCCAGAGTCTGTTTTAAATCAATCACATAACCTAGAAAAGCAATACAATTGATTTTTCTAAGAAAAACGATTTAGGATTAATCTGTACACGATTTTGTGACACTTTCACTGAAACTGTACAGAAACTTCAATGCTTTAGACACTTCTGAACGCCTTAAAATTGCATTTTTAAATGCAACTGATCAAATTGTGAGGTTAGAAAAACAAGTTATAAAACCTTGAATTCATTTAAATCCTTTTATACCTAAAAATAAGTGAATTTAGGGAATATTACAATGTTTCTACTGGATAATTCAGTAGAAACTTAGACTAAAATGACATTTTTGAGGTTATGTTTGACACTAAAACTGTTTTTTTTACTTCTAAAATTGAATCAAATTGAAGTTTTTAGAACAAAAATGTTGAATTTTGCCGATAAAACAGAAATATTCCTAGTTTAAGCACAATTTGAACACTCAGAATCTGTTTTAAATTAATCACATAACCTAGAAAAAGCAATAAAATATATTTTCTATTAAATATTTTTACCAAAAGCTGTACACCACTTCCGACTGTAATATCTGCGCCTTGATAGAATGCAAATGCAGCGCTAAAAGTCGTGATGGATGGAAATCACTTTCCGCCAGAGTCGCATTCATTGTCAATTTCAAGATTTCAGTTCAACTCTGCTTGACAGCTGTCAAAGTGCACTAATTTCTGCCCTTCGGATATCTTGGAATCCTTCTTTTTTCCCTTTCTCGCCGCTCTTGAGTGGCATCACAATTGAGAAAAACACATTTCTCACAGAGTCTCTGCAGCGCTAATGCTGCTTAATTAGCGCACAATTTTCCCTGAATGCAGCCACAATGGCTGCTCTTGTGCCTTATATCAAGTTGACGCGATGATATACATGTTGAATGCATTATGCCAAATAGCTGACACTGCAGCTATTTATCATTTATTTATACTATATGGCTATATGCATTGTTACCAAAATAATAATACATACCAGGGTCATTTATTACTTAATATTTAAATGTAATTTTAATGCTGCAGTGCTTTCTCTGGCTGTGGTTTGCATGTTTGGCCCGAGAAGCAGTCACTCAACTATTTATTCGTGTTCGCCCTCCTTGGCTTCAGACTGGCACTGGAGGAATCTTTATGGTTTCTCAAATAAATGAATGTGCTGTAAACTTGTTCTCCTAGGCCTTTCCAAGGGGGATTATATGGCCAAAAAGTGTACAACACTCCCAAAACACTTCTGCAATTCCTCTGCAGAATCTTCAACACTTCTTAACGCCCTTAAAATGCATTTTCCATCGCTTTTTCCACTCCATCAACTCTTTCTCACACTCAATTCTGACTTATCACAAAGCTAATCCGGGGTTTTCCATCTCAAGAGGTTTAAGCTCTTCAAATGCTTAGATTTAAAACTGTAAAAATGATTTTAACGTCCCAGAATTTGTTTATGAACAATTTCTGTCTTGATTTTCTAGTTTCATCTTCAGAAAATGCTTGAAAATAAATTCTGACCAAATTTTGAGGTTATGAATTTTGCCTTATAATATGTTTTATGACTGGAAGTGAGTAAAAATGACAAATATCACAATATTTCCACCAAAAAAATGAGGTTAAATTTGCCACTTTAGAGCACAAATTGCAAAAATAATCAAACAAAGTTAATTTTCTTGGACATTTTTTGAGGTTTTGGTTGACTTTTAAGCTGTTTTCTAGCCAAATCTTAAGTTTTTTCGAACGCAAATGCTTAATTTTTGTTAAGAAAAGAGAAAAATTATCAGTTTAAACACAAATTTGATGATTTTGAGCGTTATTTTATCACATAACCTAAAAATAAAGCAATTAAATTTATTTTTCTAGTGAAGGTAATAAGAAAAAATGCCTCAATTTGATGAAATTGAAGCTTTTGCAGTGCAAATATTCTTGTACAGTAAAAATCGCGAAAATAATCAAGGCAAGAAGACATTTTTCAGCATTGAAGTGATATTTTTGAGGTTAGAATTGACTTTATGGCGATTTCTCAATCAATATGAAGTTTTTTCGCAGAAAAATGCTCAAATGTTCCAAGAAACGGAGAAATTTGATAATTAATTCTGTTTTAAATCAATTACATAGCCTCAAAAAAGCGATAAAATTGATTTTAAGCAAAAGTAATTAGAAAAATGCCTCAATTCGGTTGAAATGGAAGTTTTTTCAGTGCAAATATTCTAATATATTTTGCCTTTTTCACTTCTAAACACTTCCATTCAAGCTGTACACCACTTCGGGCCATATTATCTGCCCATTGGGCCTTTCGATTTCATTCGCTGTGCCTTAAATGATGTGTTCTAGCCTAGTCTTAAACATGGTGAAATTTTCTTTAAAGCCATCAATTTCTACCCTCCCTTTTTGGCATTTTTGTCTCCCTTCCTCGCTCTCTCCTCGCATGACACATCCGCCATACCTATACATTGGATTTAGCATTCATATGACTATACGTACCCTGAGGATTTTCAACCCCTCGTCAAGTTTTCTTCCTCCCGAACATACACAATGCTGTGAGTGCTTCGGCAGCAGAAATTCTCAGCCAAACACTGTGAATTCTATCGAAACACACACACAGAGACGTTTGGATACTTTAAAATACGATAAAGAGAGCCAACGCTTTTTTGCTCAGTGCTCTTCAACTTGATAGTATATATATATATATATGTACCTTTTGCAGCGGCAACTTGAGCACTATCATCCGAATGATTCAATTCAATTCACTCCATTTTCGATACCTTGAAACAATTTCCAACATTCCGGGCTCTCTCTGCTGACCAGAGCTGGAAGTGTGTTAATTGAAAGGTTTTTCAAATGTAATATGGAACACGTATTGGGATATATATATATGTTTGGTTGCCTATTGTTGCTGGGCGAAATGAAAAGCCTGAGAGTATCACAAAGAAATTAAAATTTACGCTTGACTGTGTGTATTAGTGAGGTCTTTGAGTACCTCAATGGATGGCTAACTTGGCTAAATGCTGGGTCTCTGCCTCGTAAAGTCGCGTGTGTTGGTCGGAATGCGATGGTGGATGTGCAGAGAGAGAGAGAGACAGAGGTGGTTTACAAGAAGAGATCGGGAAAAGAAGAGCGACAACAGGGTTTTTGTAGGAAATTGGTTGCCATCTTTGTCAAAAAGCCTGCTTTGGATGATCTATAGTCGCCACTCGGGGCTTCCCGAGCTAGATTACACTCAGAAGAAAACAACAATTCGAATGTGTTCTTGCGCCTGAAGCCTCAATCTACCTGATTTTGAGTCCTTTTCAAGCCTTTCCATCGTCATAAATCGTTAAGTCTTTGACCTTTCCTTGAAACAATTGTGTTTTTGCATTAATTTAATGCCTTTCTCCGTATGATTTCAAGTCTTTTTCAACATATTAATGTGAAATTAGGTTTCCAAAGACTTTTTTCAATTCTACTCTTAATATTCCATCTTATCTTTTAACTTAAATTAAGCCCATTTCGTCATATTTATAAAACTACGCAATATATTTAAAACAAAGCAATTTCTTCGTAGAATAGAAATCATTTTCTACCTTATTTTCTACTCAATAAGACTGAAATTTAGTAATTATGATCACAAAATCAAGTCAATTTCGGAGTGAAAACTTTTTAAGAAGAGATTTTTCTCACTTTTATTCCTCAA